GTGCAGCGTAGGGCCACAAGGTTGGTGGCCCTACGCTGCACTGACTCTAACCTGGCTATATCCTTCCTGTAATGAGGGGCCCAAAACTGAGTGCAATACTCCAGTTGCAGGCGCACCAGAGTCGTGTAGAGTGGCAGTAATACCTCTCTTGATCTAGAAGCCACACTTCTGGCTATGCAACCAAGGGTGGCGTTCGCCCTCTCAGCCACCGCGTCACACGGCTGGCTCGTGTTCAGCCTGCAGCCCACCAGCACCAGCAACGCAGGTGAGTCTGGGGGAGCACGGCCGGGGTCTCCGATGCCGCCTGGAGAAGGCGGGTGAGTGGAAAGGGAAGGGCTGGCATTCGAAGCGTCCTGGGCAGGACCATCTGGAAACCTCTGGAGGCCTGAATGATCTCAGGAGAAGCACAGCTGCAGCAGCAGAATTCGGCACTGGTTTGGGAAAACTGCCCTGTGTTTTCTCCGAGAGTTCAGAGGCGGGGATAGAAGCCAGCTTATTTTATTTCTCTAATGCGTTCGTGACATCCAGTGGCCCAAGTGCTCTGGGCAGTTCACAACAATGAACACCATAAAACGTGGACCCACCAGGCCCGCAGAGCAGCAGTGCTGGCGTGGACGCCGGGGCAAGACGGCCTCTTCTCCCCACTGTTTGGCCACATACGCTGTGGTTTCAACCAGGCTGGAATCGCCCTTGATGTTTCAAGGTTGCTTTTAGATCTATTTGTCTCTCTCTCAGCATGTTGCCTGTTTCAACCTTTGTATGCATGTGACTTTTTAAACATACTTTTTAAGCCTTTTAATCTTGGCAAACCAGCCAGAGAGCTCTGGCTATTGGGAGGCATCACAATGTAACAGATGAAATTCTTTTAAACTACAGTTTGAAACGCAGCGTAAAATCCAGAGGCCAGATAAAGGTTTAAAAACGCAAGAACTGATTAAAGGTAACACAAACACACAGACACACACACACACAACCTGAAAGGCTGAACTACCTGGGAGAATAGTCTGAAGTCTGGGTGCTGAAGGACCACGGTGCCGATGCCAAGCGAGCGTCTTTTGGGAGTGGGGGATTCCACCAAGGGGCCCCGCAATGGAAGATGTGACCTCTGCGTAAACCCGTCACCTCCCTCTTGCCGCTTCTGGATAAATAAGATATTTCCCACAGGGCTTAGGCCTGCACGCACATCAGCAGCAACGCCCATTAGCAGGCGTTTGGCCCCAGCCCAGCTCCCTCTCTGCCCTTTTGCCATTCCTGCCACCCGCTGAGCCGGCAACAGGGACTCTCAGGGGGGGCCACGCGCTCCGTCCTGCTCTGGGATGCCTTGCAGAACAGCCCCAGCCGCCGTTCCACCCCCTCCCCTGCCCCAAAGCTGGAAATAAAGCGATCGCCGGCTCTTTCAAAGGGCTGCTAGCCCTTGGGACAAACAGGCAGGAGAGAAGGATCGTCAGTCGGTGAGCCCTTGGTATGAGAAGGTCAAGTGAGAACAGCCCTGCTGCATCGGACCAAAGGGCCACCCGGCCCAGCCCTGCATCCACAGGGTAGCGATCACTGCCGTCTCTTTTTGTGTGTGTTATTGCTGTGCTCGCACTGTGAGCGACCCGGAGAGGCGTCTGCCAATGGGGCTGCGCAGAGATGCGACAGGCAGGCAGCAGGCAGGGAAAGCAGGACATGCGCCTGCCCGGAGAAGCTCCTCCGCGACGGTGAAGGAGGCCGCCTGTAGCCAGTGAGGCTGGTAGCCATGGGCACCGTCCTCCTCCACGCATCCGTCCACTCCTCTTTTAAAGGCACCCGCTCTGACGGCCAGCACCACTTCCCGCAGCAGCGGATTCCATAGAAACAGCGTGAGTCAGAAGGGGCCTCCCGGGCCATCTAGTCTGACCCCCGGCGCCTGCCGGCTCCGCTCACAACAGGGCCCACCATGCTCGAACAGTGCCCTGTTTGAAGAAGTCCCTCCTTTCAGGACAGCCCATCATCGGCCACTCATCAGCTTCAGGGGATGACCCCGTGCTCCAGTGCGAGACCTTTTCCCCCCTCTCCCCTTTCTCCATGCCGCGCGAGAGCCCCTCCCTCATGTCTCCCCCCTCCTGCCTTTCCCTAAGCCAAAAAAGCGCCCTGATCATTTCCCTTGCTCTTTCTGCCCCCTTTCCAGATGAATAATGTCCTTTGTCAGGCGAGGCAACCAGGACTGGACGCAATATTCTAAGTGCAGCCGCCCCAGAAAGCCTCTGCTCCGGAGGGATTGTGTAAGAGCTGGCGCTGCATCACGTCGCTCTTATCATGTGCACCTGGCAGCTGCAGGGCCGAGATGGCTGCGACTCTCGCTTCCGGCTCCCGTTCCAGCGCCCGGCCCAGCGTCGCTGCCCGGTTATCGTGACAGCCCTCTTGACGGCATCAGCCACTTAACGTGCTGCCTGTTTCAATTAGCTCCCTTGCTCCAGCCCCGTGGGCCTTGTGTCGCTGCGGCCGGGCCACGTCCCTGAAGGCCTCGCACAGGCTTGCAGTCCAGACCCTTGCAGCCTCCAGGAGGGGGGGACAGAGCGTGTGGCCCAGTGTGGCTTTGCCCATCCGGGGGTCAGTGGGCTCAGAACGACTGAAAATGCGCGGCATGTGTCTCCCACCCACTTCAGAGGAATGGCTGGCTCTCCCTCCAGGGCACACGGTTTGGGCTAAAGCTAGGCAGGACCTGGGACCACGAAGCGTCCCTTTCGATCTCGGGGCAGGAAAGGCGGGGCCTGGGGCACAGGGCTCGTCACTGCAGAACGCCGGGCTCGTGGACCCAAGGCGAGGCGGCTCCAAGCATCGCGAGGTTTTGCATCCCAGAACGGATGCACCGAGAGGGGCAGAACTGATGCTCTCCCCATGGATGCCTGGAACAGACAGCAGCAGCAAGCTCGCTGGGGGCTGAATGCAGGGCCTCAGGGGTCCCCACGCACAGCCCCCGAGTCCCTGCTTGGCTGCACTGCAGATCGGTTTCTGCTCCAGGAAGCTGCCTCCCTCTGGGTCGAGGGGTGGCGCTTCCCCCAGGGGTCGCTCGCTGAAGCTGCCCCTTCCAGACTAGCGAGAGTCCTCCCCCTCTGCCGTGCCCACTGAGCTATGGCTGCAAGGCACTCTGCGCCTGCTCAGAGGTGCTGCTGCTTCCCCTGTGGGATTAACATAGCCATGTCCTGGCACCGAAAGCCAGTTAGAAACACAGAGTGCATCAGAAGGGGTCTCCCAGGCCATCTAGTCTGACCCTGGCTCCAGCTGGCTCCACTCACGACAGGCCCACCACGTGCACGTCTAGTTCGGGGCTTCGGCCTCCTCTCCTCCTCCCGTAGCAGCTGCTGGGCCCCGTTTTGTCTGTCGAAAGCATTTCCTCCCAGGATCTCCCCGCTGCTTCCCACACCATAAATGTTGCTCAGGACGGCTCTGCCAGTGCTCAGTGGGAACCCAGGTCTGCCCTGAGATGGGGCAGCAGCATCTGGGCACTGCCCTCCCCACTGCCTGAAGGGCCCTCCCAGGGCAAAAGTTCCCAGCGCGGCAGAAAGTCTCCCCCCCTTGCTCGGGCGGCTGCTAAAGAGCTGGACTCAGCCCGGCCAGCCCTTCGGACCGTCTCTGCTCGCTCTTCCACCGTCCTCCGAACAGGGGATGCCTGACCTGGCCGGCCAGGCCGCCTCCCGCGTGGCACCCAGACAGGTGCGTGCCCTCCGCCTGTGTCCCTTCCACAGCCCCCCAGCCGGGCCAGGCCAGGCCACCCCGCGCCGTCCCGTGCTCGCTGCGGGAGAGGCCCTTCGCCGGGCAGCCTGACCCTCCTGGGTGGAGAGCGCCTTCCTGGCACTGCTCACTCGGTGGGCCGCTGCTGCAAAGCCAGGCCGCCCTCCGCCTGCAGGCGCCACTGGCACTCGCGGGGACCTGGGGGGCACTTAGCAATATCGCCGGGTGGGTGGAAGGCAACACGGTGCTCCCATGAGCACTGATCGATGCGCAGGGCGTCCCGGCACTTGGCACAGGGGACTTCCCTGCGGGGCACGCGGGCCCCTCGCGGCTGAAAGGAACAGGCACCCGGGCAAGATGAGCAGCGTGGTGTGGTCTGCAGCAGCCTGCTCACCCGAGCCCGGCCCCCGGGCAGAGGCTCCCGCGCCCAGGGATCCTCCCTCTCGCCCCCCAGCCCGGATCCCGCGGGACGGGGTGGTCCTGGATCTCCTGGGTCGCAGCCCCACCTCGTGGGTCGTCATGGAGAAGGGGCCGGGTCTTTTCTAAGAGGGCCGGACAGGGAATAATGGGCTCAAGGGACGGGAAGCCAGATTCCGTCTGGGCACTGGGGAAGAACTTGCCGGCTGTTGGAGCAGCATGGCACTGGGGCCCAAGACCTGGGGAGGCGGTGGGCTCTCCTCCCCCGGAGGCATTCAAGACGCAGCTGGACAGCCCTCTGAGGGGGCGGCTTTGCTCGGAGTCCTGCATGGAGCACGGAGGGTCCCCGGCCCCTTCCCACTCTAGCATCCCGGTATTCTGTATCAATGGCTACTTTCCCTAATCTGAAGGATCCTGCTGTAAAATCCAGAGAAGTTTGAATTCTGAAGGATAACCTGAGTTTCAGTCTGCAGGGCGATCTGAAGGCGCCACTTCGCTCAGCTTGCGCTAAATGTACCCTGAGTGGATTTCTCCCCCAGGTTTAGTCACACGTCCCCACTCATGCGCCTGGAAGAACTCACAGCGCCAGGACCCCGATGCCTTCCGCTGCCGTGGGGAAGACCACAGATAATTGTGGGATATGGTGCTTTCATACCTCCGTGCAATAAAAGAGTGCAAAGTATTCTTTGAACTGACGTATGGAGGGAACCCTTTTTGAGGAGCATCAGAATGATGAAATCCGTGGCCCAAGGGGAAGGCAACGCTTCAGACAATCACTGGATGATCAGGTCCTAGATGCGCAGCCCCATGCGACCCACGTCCCCCCGGCACGCGTTCTCCTGTCCCCCAAGGAGGGCTTCAAAAGCGCCCGGCTTGCTTTCTTCCCCGGGCGCCACCCGGACCTTTTCTCCCCGTTTCGCAAGGACAGAGCCAGAGGCCAGTGCAGGAACCTGCTCTGCGCTCGTGTGGTGGCATTCCCCTCGCGCCCAGGGAAGACGCGCCCTGCTCTGGCTTGGCGCTCCCCCCTCACAGACCAGCCACGCAGGCCAGGCGGTGCTCCTGGAGCCCCACGGTGTGGCTTCAGCGTGTCCCGCCCTCCCTCTCGGTTGTTGCGAGGATGCAGGAAAGGACCCATTCCAGACAGGTGAAGGAGGGGAGGGGGACCTGTGTTGCCCCTTCCCTGCAGCAGCAGCTGCTCCGGGAGAGGAGCAAAGCCGGCCGGGCCTGCGAAAGGCCCCCCTCCCTTCCTGCTGACCCCTGCAGGAGGGGCCGTCCCTGCCACCCCAAGGAGGAGGGTCCAGGTGGCCCTTACCTGCCTCAGACGTGGCGCAGCCGATGCCCTGCGTGTCCCGCGGCCCTGCACAGTCCCCCACACGGCCGGGCGGAAGATCAGGTTACCTGGCCAACCGCTCGGTCCGGTCCCGAGGCCAACGAGGAAGGAAGTGCAGCAGCGCAGTGGGAACAGGTGAGGCCGGCTGCTATCATGCGGCCAGGTGCGGGGGCGGGCGGGCAGGAGGGTGTTGGCCTCCTCGCTGTGGGGCCGAAGGCTCCGCAGGTGCCCAAGTCCTGGAGGACAGCCAGCCTATGGCATGATTCATGTCTGGAACCCGGGTCGGCCCCACCTGTTTGGTTTGCAGGGCGCAACTCCGGAGCGATCAAGGGCAACGCCCCGGCTTTTAACAAGCATGTGTGTGTGCGTGCGCACGTGTGTGTTACACACTTGCACGGGCTAATTTCTGCAACTCTTTGGAGCAAGGGCACCTTTGCAAAACTTCTTCAGCCTTGCATGGAGCAGGCACGTGAATCCAGTGCGGGCTCTGGTTGCCGTGTGTCCTCTTTGGCCCCTCTTCACTGGCACCACATGCTTCCTGCTTGCCTGAGCCAAGCCAGATGCAGGCGAGCAAGTAAGTTGCGATGGGGGGCGGGGGAAGAGGCACAATCCAGGAAAATGTGTCCTTCTGGGCCTCACTGGGCTGTGAGCCCGCATAGGTTCCAGACTGTGCCTCCCCTGGGCACCAGCTCCGGCTGAAACTAAAAATCTGTGTGACCACTTGGGAAGTGCTCTGCATAATCAAGAGCACCTCTGAGCATTCACAGAATGCCTTC